GGGGGAGGCGGAGGAGCAGTGGAAGGCACACGGCGACCCACTGAACATGGGGTCACGACCCACCCGTTGAGAACCAAGGTTTTAAATGACTTCTTTGTTTAAAACACTGGAAAATGTAAAATAAAATTTTATCTGTAGAAAATAAAATAGGATTTTTTTTCTTACCTGTTAATTCCTTTTTTTTTTTGGAGTACAAGACATGAGTTATGCTGCTTCCTGCTGGAGACTGGACAAAACAAACATGAAAAGCACAGCCCGATATAACTGCTCCCACTGATAGCAAGCCTCAGTCTGTAGCAAGCAGTAATAGGAGTGGACAGTAACAGTGGGGTGAGACCTGTGTCCTGTAACATGCTCCAAGAAAAGGATTTTTCAGGTGAGACAAAAATTCATTTTTCTCAGTACAGGACTGTTTTCAGGGATGGTCTGCTTTTGGACGACTGGGTGTTAGACAACCCAGCAACAACAGGCCCACAGGGGAAAAAAAAAAACATGACAACAGAGGCAATTCAGCTGAGCCTACAGTGCTGCCTGAAGAACTTTATGACCAAAGCATCAGCAGAGGCCTGAATGTCCACCTGGTAAAACTTAAACATGTCAACAGAATAGCCAGGTGGCTGCCTTGCTAATCTAAGAAACATAAGGCTAATGCTGAAAAAGCACAAGAAGCACCAAGGGATCTGGTGGGATGTGCTTTAAAAGAGAAAGGAGGAACACTGCCCTTGAGGACATAAGAATGAGTGACAAGTTGCCATATTCACATGATTATAGTGGAATGAGAGGCAGGTGGGGAGCTTTAGCAAGAATGAAGAAAGAGTCAGAATGGGGTTGTAGCCAGTAGGTAGATTTAAACAGCATACAACATCCAAACAACGGAGGGAGAGCTTCCCAGGAGAACCTTGAAAAGAAAGGAAGACTTGGGCCTCAAAACAACTTTGTGTGTAGCATAAGAAAGGGTTCTTTACAGGTTAAGGCTTGTGGGGCAGAAGATCTGAGTTTGATGAGATCCAAGTACCACATCCTCCTGGGCCAATTCTGTGCAGTAAGAATCGCCAGAATGCCTTCCAGCTCAAACCTGCAGAGCAGGTGAGAAAGGAGTTGTAGAAGAAAGGTGGTGTAGATCAGGCTGAACTGATCACATGGTGTCACCAGAGGATCTACTGCAAAGGCTAGAGGATCCCTGGATCTGAAGGCAAAAATGTCCACTTTGTTATTAAACCTGGAGGCCCACATTGATACATCCAACTAAGCTCATGAGAGTCATGAAATATCTCAAAGTGAAGAGACCTCTCTCCGAAGTTCAGATATTGCCAATTAGGAAGTTTGTCTACCAATTTTCCACCACTGGGATGTGCAGGCCATGGAGTTTCACACAGGCCAGAATCAGATCATCTCTTTGAGCTGCAAAACTTCTGGATCCTCCCTGGTGGTTGATGTAAGCCACTGCTATGGTGTTGTCAAACTGAGTACAGCACCTGTACCCGGATCCTGGTAAGAAGCGCTAAATTTAAAATTGGTCAGATCTTTTTAATTCATGGCGCTGGTGAACGCTGGAGTCACAGCTTTAGTCCTTCAGAATTCAAAAAAGCAACTTTACTGCAGCTTTTTCTGTGAAATTCCACCAGTGAGAGGGGGCGGGGGAGAAGGGATATGCTTTCTCAGGATCTTTAGCCTCCTGGTCAGCTTACCTCCTCCCCTCCATCCCCCATGGGGTCTTTAGGAACAGGGTTCCACCACACAGGAGGACCATAGCCTTGGACCTGTAAAGCAGTCTGAGGTTGCCTGATCACATTGCGCCACATGCCTTGGTGAGCTCCTTGAGCAGAGTCCAGTGCTGGGAGGCAAATTACAGGCCAGCCCTGCATTTTCTTCACTGCAGGGTCCAGGTGCAGCCTCCATGGCTGCAAACAGGAGCCACAGAGGTTCTTCAGCTACTGAAGAAACTTTATAGAAGAAAAATTAATGTAGATAAAAGTGAATAAATGTGGTAGCTTCTTTCAGAGCAGAGAGACCACCTCTCTCCTAGGACATTAGCAACTAACTGAGGCTTTCTGGCACTGGGAAGGTTATAGAAGCTGCCCTTTCAGCTTTGTTTTGCCAGTGTCAAGTCTCCAAAAAAGCCGGACCATGTTCTTGAAAACTGTCCAAACTGTCCTGTGCTATGTAATGAACGATTAAGAAAATCGTTTTTGCAAGACAATATTTCCAAAAGAAAGCAACAAAGTTATTGTTAAATAAACAGGCCTGTAGTGAAAATGTTAAAAATTGCTCTGGTCCATAAGAGGGATATATGTACAAAAGCTAAAGTGATTCAGGTACCTACAAACATTAGGCTGCAACTGCCCATGACCACTGAAAAATCTTTTTCATGGATGAAACTTTGTTATTATGATTGGGTGAACATGCATGTTGTTGATTATGGAACATGGTGGGTTTAGCAGTCAGGCTTGTCTCAGGGGTGATCATAAGGGAAAAGCTATTTGGTAGGCTCAGCTGGAGGCGTCAGGGAGGAATTAAAGAAGTGCAATCATCTCCCAGTCTGACTATGTATCTGTGTATGTGAAAAGACCAGGCCCTCTTTATGCTGTGTGCACCACAGACCCATACACATAACGGCCTCCAGCAGTCCTGCAGAGTATGGCTCTCCCCATTAAAATGAATGTAGCCGTAGTATGCATGCGCAGTATGAAGAAAAAAAATACAGCCTTCAGTAGGAAGGTTGTGCAGCTCTGGAAGATTGTTGGAATGGGGGCAGAGATACTTATTGGACCAGATTTGCTGCACTCAGAGGTGTGGGGGCATACCTTGAAGGACAAAATATACCAAATGTACAGTTATCATTTAAACATTCCTTCTTTGTAGTCACCTGACCAAATTTCCAATGTTCATGATACATAACAAAAACAGGCCTACTATACACTGCACTTGTGTTTACCTGCATGCACCTGCACTTTCCATTCCTTGGCTTGCTGCTTGACAGTGTCATTTCCAGCTTGATGTATATTTACTTACCTGTAAGTGTTACGTATTAACGTCCTTATATCTAGAACTGCAGACACTTACATCAAATTAATGAAATGCTTACAATGAAAACAAACTGGACTCCGTTACTTCAGATGCATTACTGCGTTTACTATATCATCATTAAAAGCAGGCATATTCATGCTAATGGGAACCAAATACACTTTATGGTTTATGCTGGAATGTTAGCTTTGCTGAATTCCCTTACACTGATGTCATGTGTGCTTGGCACGGCAGAGTTCAAGGAAACCCGTAGTAAGAGAAGTATGGGGCTGTAATTGCTAGTAGCCTGGCTGTCTGGTTTCAGTACAGAGACGCTGACCTGAGAACAGCATGCAGATCCAGAAAGTCAGAGTAAAGCAAGAAACTCTAATCTGCTTACTCGTTCAGTAGAGTCGTAAGTACTGAAGCCAACGTAAAAAAATGTTGCCATAAATGTATCCTGACAAAACTAAAGCCGTAGCACAAACACTTTCCTGCCTCCTGCTGTTCCTTTAGGAGTTTCTATGATACTTAACACAGAATAACTATTCTTAACTCTGGCAGTGGGGCTATCCCTGCACTGTAAGGGTTTAATGCTCATTTTTACCTACAGACATAAATAAAGTTATGCTCACCTGAACCTCACAGCCTGTCTTCCTCCACTCCGGCGATGGAATATCCCAGTGTCCTCATGTCCTATACACTGTATAAGATGTGATGACTCGCTGCACCTTAGACTGCTGGAGGGCAGAGGGTGCGCGTTGGCAGGAACCAATCTAACAGCCAGCCGGCTACAAAGTTCAGATGAGAATAACTTTTATTTTCATCCCTAGGCAAAAACAAGCATTTAACCCTTGCAGTGCAGGGGTAGGCCCACTGCAGGGTTTAAGAATAATTATGCCCAGAGTTTTTCTTTAAAGGGGTATTCCAGATAGACATGAAAATTTAGCATTCATTCTGTCTTTGCCCCACCTCACCTCGTCTCTGATTTTTACATTACTATTCACAATGAGCAAATGCCTGCCAAGCTGGATAATTCTAGATCGTTGTCAGTACTCTAAATCTGAGCGGGCAAAAATATATGGTGGTGCGTCATCTGCTTCAAGTTCCACATCATTCTCTAAGCCTAGGTCAGCCTTACCTGCATACACACTGGATCATGAGAGGGAGGCTCCGGTCCCTTCCAGAAGCAGCATAACAAGGCCGACTATTCTGGCCACTTCCTACTTACTATGATATAAAGATGAGTGAAGACTTGGTGCCTTCAACACTGATGCAGTGCTTCTTCCTTCATAACACTGCTTAGGAAACAGCCTTTCACTGTATGAATACAAAGTATCACAAACCCCACCCCTCCAAATGTCATTTTTGAAATGTATTTTAAAAGCTCCAGCACAAATATCTGAATCTGTCTGTATATCAGCTTCCTGTAATGCATAGCAGGACAGACAGAGTGGAGGAAGGCACAAGGAATCAAAGCACAGAGCTGTCAGTCTAAATATGTAAAACACAGGGGGCGGTGCGGTGCGGTGCTGGACCAAACTGTACTGCTTAAAATGTATCTGAAGAAAAACATTTTACATACAGCAGCATACTAGTCTTTATATGTGATGGCTGCATTAGGTCATTTTTACCTGGTGATCCTGCAAGTAACACACATCCGGTCCTGGGGTGACAACACTCATTCAACTGTGTCTATAAAGAAACAGTATTGTCACCCTAGAACAATAAGTGTATTAAGCCTACTGAATACCCCACCCTCTCATTTCTATAATATAGTATGCTCTGTAGTTCAAAGAAGAGTACTGTTTTGAAATCTCAGTTCACTGTACAGGAAGTGACAAGAACACTGGCAATCTGGCAGGATCTGTGAATATTTTTCTGTACTATGCCTGAAAAAAGAAAACTAATACTGCCACCACATCTAAGGACCATGGGGACTGTTCTAAATGAAATGGAGGTCTCGGAATTAGGTCTGCATTGTGCAACGGATTACTTATGGCAGGTAAGACGGTGTATTTAGCCACGTGTCTGGAGTTGAACATTGTAAGAAACTCTATAAAACATTCAATAATACTGCAGTTGATTTTAGACAGGGATTTGGGGGAACATACGTTCATGTAGAAGCACACGTGACACCAGCCTATACAAGTGACAGAATAGGCTTAATCTGTTTTTCATATGCTGTTCCGGGATCGGCTAGTAAATGCAGCTTTATACATGCATTTGTTCAATACATTCAAGCATCAAATATACAGCACAGTAAACTGTGGCCCTATGGCACATTGATCCCATTGCATCGAATGTCAAATGATCTACTGAAGCAAAAGAGCAGTCTCCTGCATGAAAAGCTCATGCAATTCACAAACATCAATATTAAAGAATGGCACATGCTTTTTTCTGTACAGTTTTCTTGGTTTTCACAGTTGTTTGAATGCACCAATCACTCAAATAGTTCTGTGTGTTGCAACTTCTAACTTGAGACTGGTTATCTTATGATAGATATCTCTCATATCCAGCACTGGCTCTGCTGCTAGCTCTCCTTCTGTAACTTAGTCCTCAACTTCATTAGTTCTTCTTCCAAACTCCTTATATGCTGTTGCAAAGCTACTTTATCTTCTTGTGCCTTCAGGTTTGCTTGGGACTTGGCTTCTTCGATTTTTCTTTCATACCATTTTTCCATTTGAGTAGATACTGCTTCAAAAAAATATTGTGTGATTTCCAGAGCTTGAGAGGTGTCCCTGGGATGCATGCCAACCTGGTTGCCCCCGGCATTACAAGATGGCGGTTGAATCGGAGGTCCTGCCATTAGGTTTCGCTGTCTGAGCTGCCCAGGTTTCCCACATTTTCTTGTTTGGGTGCCTCGGTCCATGAGATTTGCAATTTGCTTCTCGCCTTTCTTGGCATCTGTTCCATTTTTGGTGGCAGGGAGGATTTTGGTGTGTCTCAGTTTAGGGTTGGGAAGGCTGGTAGATGGGAGGGCTGGCTGTCTGCAGGATGGGGTACAGCTTGCTGTCTTTTCTTTAGGCCTCACAGCTGGAGGGGCAACAGGTACAGATTGCTGCTCTACAGCTACAGAAAAATATTACATGTCAAATGAAATAACTACACATCTGATGCTAGCAAATGAGAAGTGAATGAATGTTGGAAATGATAAAATACATTTTAAACACGGCAGACCACAAACTGTATCTCAGTTTCAGCTTAACATAAATAGCTTTCATGCAAGACCAATAGACATCAGACATCTTGACAATATTGGGATGTCACCATACTGTTTATGGGCCACAGAAGCTAAGGGCAGGCAGCTTCAGACTACCACAGTTAGGGGGAGGGCTTTGCATTCCATATATGTGGTTATAGGGATATCTATGTTTTGAGGGCTATCCCATAAGTTCTCAGCCGGAGAATGAAGGGGTAGTTGTAGGTTCACAATTTTTAAGATGTAAAGACCAGTAGCGGCAGCACAGTGGCTTAGTGGGTAGTACGTCCCACACTCCAAAGAAATTCTGGTAGGTTAAATGGTTCTTGTTTAAATTGGCCCTAGTATGTATGCATTTGAAACAGGGACCTTCCATTTTGGGTTCCTTGCAGACAGGGACTGATATTAATGTACAGTATGTAAAGTGCTGGGCACGTTGACAGCGCTTTATGAATGCCTATAATCCTAACTGCTTGATTATGGTCGCTACTTTTTTTTGTTGGGACTATCTAAGAACTTGTAAGCTGCAATCTATTATTTTTTTGATTTTGGGTTTATATCTGCTTTAGGTTATGGAAGTCTATTGTGACACCCTTAACCAATCAGTTTATTTGTAGGCAATAAAAGCATTGCAGCACTACTTGAAAACAGTATTTGGACCCTGAAGAGGGCTATAGAAATAAAATAAAAAAAGCCCTACCAGATTTGTATGGGTCTATCCCTCTATAGTATGGCTGAGAACATATGGTGCTACCTTTGGACATACAGTACACACAAACAATTGGATCCTGGAAGCTTGCATATGTGTGACTATTGGGTGGTGGAAAGATCATGGAGGTTGAATCATTTTCATACTGTCGTCTGATGTCTATGGTGAGCTTACCTGCAATCAATGCCTATGAGCACAGCAACAAAAGGGGACCACTGACTAGAAAAAACAGTTCTACAAGTCACTACACAGTGGCTGAATACCAACGTATTCAAGAGATCATTTGTAGCTGTAATATTATACATTCCAGAGACACAAGTGCTGGCTATATCATTAACTTTAAAATGCTAGAAAAGTACATCTAGCACTGACAAAAGTTACAGCAAGGATCTATATTTTATTTGGACCCAGATTGTTCTCTACTGCAGTGTCCCAACACTGTCTTACCATAACCTCATCCTTTAACCTACTTTGTCCCCAGATAGTTTTGAAATCTGATCAGACACTTCAGGTCCTTAACCATATGCCCCTTTAATTGCTTGCATCATCATGTGAATAATGTGGTTGACTTACATGCACACACCATGAGATCTTGAGGGGATGGAATCTGGTGTTGTCTGCTGATTTCTTCAGATGGAAGTGCTTTGGAAGGCTCATCGGATAAACTGCTCTGCCTAGTGACAAATGAATGTTGAATGGAGGACTGTGGTGGAATGGAGGTGTCTGTGCTGTTGCAGTCCTTGATGCTGTTCGGACTCTCTGAAAGGGGCTGATCTGTGGACTCGCATGTTGAAGGAGATGATTTGGCTTTGAAAGGTCTGGAATCTCCAGAAAGCTTCAGGTCCAAGTTCTGGATTTTTAGTAAGCACCAGGTTTTAAGCTCATTCACCACAGATACCTGGGGGGAAAAAAGACATATCAGTGGACAGATTTACAACATCAACAGTATTAGCCACAGCCACACTAATACAGTGCTTCAAGACCAGGGCTACATTAAGGGAATGGTCCATTCCAAAGGGCATTACATCTGTTTTTCAATGTATATTCATTCGTTAGCACAATGTAGCAATCCTTTGCCGCTTTGTCACAGAAAAACATTTTTGACAAAGCAGTGTAACACTACTTCATCAAGTGTGTTGGCTCCCATACTTTTCAGAGCTGTTAGTAAAAGCCTAATCATAGCTATTATTTTCACAAATAATTAAAGGAACCTGCGTTGAGTTCTACATCCTGCTGCATTAAACCCCACTTCACAAGAATGTGTGATTACTTTGAGATTATACATGTACATGTGGGCAGCCATATTTGGCAATTACATATGCAGGCTCAGCTTCAAAGTATGACTGTGTTTTACTTTACTGCCCCTTCTCAAAATGTTAGCCAACTCGCTGGGAGCAGTGCACTCCCTGTGTTGCTGATAGGAGGCTGATTTACTAAAGGAATTAGGATTCCTCACTCAATAAATTGAGTGAACATTAACTTGAATTATTCAATCATGTGAAAAGCACATTCCTGTGTATTATTTCAACTGCACATTTATTGGGTATTCAGGGGAATTTGTTTTAAATATGGTTGTATAATTGAAGTAAATGTTCACTCAATTTATTGAATAACAATTGAAGTGATTATTCACTCTATTTTTTAATGTGATTCTCAACTCTCTTAATAAATCAGCCGCTTTATCTTACAAATCTCTACATTTATGCAAAAAGAAATATGAAAGAACACACTGTTAAAAAAAAATTGAAAGTCAAAAGAGTTTTTGGTAAACAGTGCAACAATCATTTAAATGATGTGAAAACACGTTAGCTTTTAAGACCTAAGTAAATCTGACTAGTTATCTAGTAGTAGCCTGCATATCCCATTGCCTGGATTGGCTTTGTGTCAGTTTTTTTTGTTAAGAAATACAGTATATTCTTTTTAGTGCATGTCCATGCAGGAGAGGCAGAGGCGTAAGTAGTGACCTCAGGGCCCCGGTGCAAGAATCCATGAAGCTCCCCCCTCCCCCAAGAAAAAGATTAGATACTTTAAAAAAAAAAACAAGCCCCCATCTTCCTCCCTTCTCGTCCCCAGCTTCCAGCTCCCTGACCCCACACTCTCCTCTCACATCTCCCCTTCATAATCTCAGCTCCCTATAACTTCCTCTTCGTGTCAGTAGCACGCCTCTGACACCCAGGGAGTTGGAGCTTTCTATAGAACACAGGCAGTTCTACGGTCGGCAGCAGTTCTGTGTGATGAGGGGGCGGGGATAAACCGCTTCCCACTCATTGGCTGCTGCGCCGGCTCGATCATTCTTCACGCTGCGCCTGGAACAAGGTGAGGGGAGCAGCGTGAAGCATGCAGGGCCCAGGACAGGAGGAAGAGGTCCCGGTACTGATATTAGCGGTTACCGGGATATTAAATATCCTGGTAATCAGCGGTTAATCCTCCTGTCCTGGGCCCCCTCTAAGTAGCAGAACTCCAGTGCCCGGTCGCAGCTGCGACCCTAGTAGTACCGCCACTGAGGAGAAGTGAAGAATAAGGAGCATAATTATCAAGTGTCAGTGAATTGATTCGCAGACCATGTTCTGTTTTTTTCACTGCTGGGCATATGTGAAAACATTTATGCATTTATTGAACACATTCAGCACCCAGACTCGCCTGCACGCTCACCAAATTGAGACTCTTTCGTTGTCATTCGCCAAATATCTAGACTTCCCATCTGTCAATGGCAAATGATGTTCTCCGTAACATACCGAAATCATATTATAACAAAGTTACAGATTAATTTAATGATTTTGTATAATAATTGAATAATTTCTAAGGGATGCTGACCATGCTAATGCCACGTCAAACATTCAATGCCCTGTAAATTAGTATTTTAGCATAAACCCTCCTTTTTACATTCCAGCATTAGCTCTTTTTACCAGCAAGAAAACATTATACCTGCCCCTAACCATAAGAACAAATACTAAAGGAATGAGATCAAATCTAGGTACATGGATTTGACTTTATCAATAAACTCTATAATGTCTAATAAACTGGACTTAAAAGTTGAACCTTAGTAGAAGTAGTACCACACAACCTTTTTCTTTCTTTTAATAGGTTTTGGTTGCATGGTCTGATTGTTTACACTAAGGAATATGTGGAAAACATACTCCAATGGATAATACACTAGGGGGCAGCTGCTACCTCTACTAGACATTCAATTTTGAGAATGCACTCCAGAGACAGGAACCAGGAAGTTATGGTAACAGAAGAGCCCTGGTTTTGAGATTACCAGAAGTGATCTATTCCATAAGAATCCTTATGTTCTAAAGGCTTTAAAAAAAAATGTAAAGCTAAATACATAAACAGCTAAACACATTTACACTTGTTAGTAGATTTTTGAGCACCAAATGATAACTACTATTGACTATATACCCTGAATCTGGTCATTCACAAGGAAATCTAAATCATATCATACCCTCAAATGGAGCTGCAGCTCCTATAAAATTACAGCTGACGTCTAACTTTTGAGTTGTTGTCAATGTCCCCTCAACAGAAAATATGCACATGAACTATTCAGTACTTGGTGGTTGAGCTCCCTATTACTCTCCCTTATGGAGTACAGCTCGGTTCTGGTTTATTTATGGTATAAAAGGATGGAATAAGAGAATTTACTGAAATTCTCCAAGCTTACAGACATGCCTCTTTTATATCAGTTCCTGACCCTCCTAGCAATTTTTTGTACGCCATACATGGTAACAATGCCACATACCGCAAATGCTATACTAACTGCAGGCAGGTCAAATTCAGATCATACATGAAGAAAAATGAGCCGCACTACAAAGTACAGATTAGACATTAGTAATAAAATCATCATGTAGAATTGCACTCACACAACTTGTGTAGGCCAATAACAAAGGACTGTCTTTGGCAGTTATATGTTGATGCACAGTCCACACTTCAATATTAGCCAGCATGTGAAAAGTCCAGACTGCAACCGGTAAGTTTGTGCACTCAAACCACAACGCAGGAAAAAGAGTGGCTTGATACAACTGAATACCATGCTCCCGCAAATGCCTCACATCTGGGATGCCATCACTAATATGTTTCAAGGCTTTACCTCAGAATGACAGCAGCATCAGGGCTGTCAACATTTAACCTCCCACTGCTGGGCAGGTCCCATGTGTAAATTTTTACTTTGGAGAAACATAATACTGACCGTACACAGGTATTATTATTTGGCATAGATGCATTTCATTAGATTTATTTATAGGGGGAAGATTCAGAAAACTCTGGCAGAGATACCTTCTGAATGTTTTGTCCTCAAGGGTCTCAATGAGAGTATTGAGAATATCTTTCTTGACTTGAATGTATTCCTATGCCATTTATGTATTTTATATATTATTTATATTTTACATTATGTGGTCTCTCCCAATTTAGTAATTTTATTTAGATTCCATATTCACATGGATACATGTGATTGAGTAATGGTTGCATTGTCAGTGCATTTTATATATTGTCATTATTCTTTGCATTATTGTCTTTGATTATTCCTTTCTCTCTGAATTTTTATTTCTACTTTCTAAGTTGCAGTTTGCAGTATTTCCTGACAGATGTGGTGTACTGTTGAATATTTTCTCCCGCCAGGTTGACAGCTATTATATTTAGTTGATGATGGTCAGTTGTCCCATTTCAGCCTGATTTTATGTGGGCTGTATGAGTGTCATTTGAGTGTAGGTTGGGCCTTTGATGCACGGATTGTGCTGGCCTGCCAGCTTGTTTCTATGCGTCACCTGTTATCCTGCATTACCTGGTGACCGCTTAGATTACTATTTCTTAAAGCACGTTTTGGTCCAGGGTGTCACCTTCCGGGTGAGCACACCCTGTGTTGTGTTTGTTAACAATTCATATCATATAGCTTTAAAGTTGAACTCAAGAAAAAAATGACACTTTACACACTACACTGTGTGTGTAACTTATTATTAAAAAGCTGTGTGTTAATGTGTGGAAGGTCGCTGATAAGTATAAAATGCTCATCTTGCAGCATGCCAACTCCTACACATAATGTCAGGTTTCTGGGCACTGCGGGAAGTAAGATATGTGACTCAAGCAGTGAAGTGCTCCAGACACATCACGCACCCCTCCTAACTACTTGCCCATTCACAAAATGCCTTGTGTTTTTTTCAAAGAATATAAGGCATTTTGTAATTGGAAGAGGAGAGGAGGGGGCGAGGATGTGACATAAAATCTTCTCCTCCAATCACAGAATGCCATGTATTCTTTGGAAAAAATACAAGCCACTTTGTAAATGGCCAAGTAGTGAGGAGGGGCAGGTGATGCGATAGGAGCACTTTACTGATTGAGCTGCATCCCTCACTCCTATCAGTGCCCAGAAGCTTGGGGTTATGTGTAGGAGACGGCATGCTGCAAGATAAGATTTTTATACTTTGTGCAGCCCTCCACACACAGCATTTTAATGATAATTTACACACTGCAGTGTGTAAATTATCTTTCTTTTTTCCTGGAGTTTGGCTTTAAGTAAAAATAAATCTTTTTATGAATAAATCATGGCAGTTTTGTTTCCATTCAGCATCTACTCAAACTTATGACACTATAACTGAAAAGAGTCTAATAGCTATAGGACTTCTATACCTGGCGTTTCTCAGCTTCATTTTTCTGCACTTCAGAGTGTTGCTGGAGGCGGCAGATACATTCCGCCCTGTCTGCAGACATCCGCTCCATCATTAACTTGTCCAAGACCCGCAGCTGCACACAGATCAATATTAAAAGGAGTAAGATATTGTGTACTAGATGATTTTGCTTAAACTTAAGCATATTTGCTAAGCAATTTAATAACCAAATAATGATGTTTGGTAATGTTTGTTTAGCAAGCCCTAGGATTGGGAACATCAACAGCGCAGAGCATCGCACCTGGTGCTGTGTTTTACTGTCCATCTGACCCAACTTTGCATTCATTTGATCTTGCACAGTGCCAATCTCAGCCTTTATTTCCTCCTTGGTGGCTTCCAGTTGGTTCTCCAGCTTACTTATGAGTGGCTCACAGCGACAACCATTGATGGGGGCCTACAAAGAGAACACAACCATATATTTTAACACATTCTTACTAGATGTTTTCAGAACAGGAACACATCTGTCCTTTCTAGCTGTTTTTTCACATGTTCTATACTTTATCAAAATAAAGCTTATGACAAGGATACTTGTAGCAAAACTTATATATCATTGGATGTAACCAAAGCATTTATAATAGGCAGAGTGCCACAACCTATGTCTACCAAGTGAATTTCAGTTTACTCAAGTCAAATGAGTAATAGGTTGGTTGCGAACTAAGCAGGGGCGGAACTACCGCCAGTGCAGCAGGTGCGGCCGCCCTGGGGCCCAAGGCTAGGGGGGCCCACTGAAGGGCGGATCGAGCGGCATATTGCTGGCCGGGCAGCATGGAGGCTCTGGGGCTGTCCGCCTGCTGCTGTCCTCCCACTTCCAGCGCCGTAGCAGGGAGCGCTGCGGGGGGGCCCGTATATCGCCTGCAATTTATCTGCCTGAATACAATGCAGGCGGTATACAGGACACACCGCTGGATCACCCCTCTCCTGGCACGGGCACTGTGTGTCACATGCCCCGTCCCCTTCTGACTGTGTGGCCGATGGTGTCCCGCTCTGGCAGCATTTCATTGTGCAAGGTAAGACACAGTTGGGGAGGGCGCCCAGAAACCCGAGAAAAAAAATCTTGCACCAGGGCCCATTTCTCCTTTGGTCTGACCCTGTAACTAAGGGTTACTGCATTTTGGACATCACCACTGCTTTGTGTGTCACCGTACCGTTACCTTACTTGGTTAAACTATTTTTTTTCAATGTAATTTATTCATTTTGTACAAGTAGTCTCCTGGGCTATATGACATTACTTGCATAACTTTGCCATCCTTTCCCCTGTAAAGAGTGTAGAGCTGGTATGCCCGAGCCTCATGAGGAAGGAGTGGCGGAGATGGAACTCTGTGCTTGCTCTTTCTTCTGTGGTTGTGTCCTGTTTGCTGGCCACTACAAAAGGGTTGCTGATCAGCAGGTGAAGTTGGATCTGAAAGAGCTGAAATCTAAGGGAATAACAAAACAGCAAGTTACCTTACATCGGGTCAGATTCTAGGGTGAAGAGAAAGCAAAAAACCCATGCAGTTTTGTACGCATTGTAATATACTGAGGTAATGCAAGTGAAAGTTTTTTCTGGGCACTGTATCATTTATTTTATTTTTGTTTTACATTTGAAGGGAGTGTATTCCTCTTGAGTTTATGTCAACAGTGGAAATGTACTAATTTTCAATACATCTGTGATAATTGGGAATTGAGTTGCACTTTTGCAAAAGTTGAACAAAGTAATTTAAAAAGCAGTACAGCGTGTTTATTTTGCAAAGTGAATATTCACTTGATTTCATGGATGAGCTGAAGTGTAAGCAAACCTTTCCATGCACTATTAGGTAGTCCAAGTGAACACAGTTTTGCAACATTCTGGATCTCTAGCTGACTGTTGGAACAGGGAAATTTAGCAGGAGTTAACACACACCATATTGGAGTTCTGCATCTAACTGTCTTTTTTCTGGCTAACAATGGCCATTATCTGACTCTTCTTCGTGTCCAAACAGAGGAGGAGGCAGGACGCATCCTACACCGATGAAAACTCTGATATTCTGCCATTTGATGCCCTGATTGTGCAGGCTTGTCCACTTGTTTCCATGTGTCACCAGGTGGGCAGAGTTGGTGGCATTTGGGTGTGGCTTTGGCTATTGTTACAGCCCATCTATCAGAATGTACAGGAGGGGTTTGCTGAGCAGTGGGAGGATAAATGTTGACAGTCCTGATGCTACTGTGAAGAAATGGTGGAGGTAATGATGCCTTCTCAGATGTGAGGTGCCTGCAGGTGCATAATAGCTGATGTCAACTGCATTAAGTTACTCTATTTCCATGGTTGTGGTTTGAGTGCACAGACTTCTGGGTTGCAGTCTGGACTTTTCAGCCCTATATGCCAGCTATGTCAGAATGTACAGGAGGGCCTGCCAAGCAGTGGGAGTTAAATGTTGACAGTCCTGACGCTGCTGCCACTCTGAGGAAGAAGTGGAGCCTTGAAACATGTTAGTGATGGCATCCCAGATGTGAGGTGTCTTCAGGAGCATAGAGCATTTTTCACTATTCACTATTTACTACTTACTACCAACCACTTGGCCACCTCAGCACATCACTCGACCATGAGAACCCCTGCCAGATGTTAATTAAATCTAATCATAGACCTTTTCTACAGATCCTGTAGACCTCTTTTAGCTTGCGACTACCCCAATGGTTCCTACTCTGATACCTTCGGGTCACCAGGTAACTCTACAAGAACACTAGATGCCTTCTGGACTTTCCATCTTCCTACCTCTGCACCAGCCAGTCCCCCTTTTCCCCTACCCAGCTACACCATAAACCTCCCAATTCTACTCTTTCCTTTTTAGGTTCAGACGCTACAGCCGGTCTGATCTATGCAACCTCCTGAATTAGAGATGCTCTCCTCTACTATATTTCTGTGAGATATAGTGACTCTGTCAACATCATTCCGAAGGCTTCACTCTGTGCACACAGCTGGCAGATAGGCCTCTACCTTCAGAAGCAGCCTGCCTCACCGCAGGCTTCCCCCTACTCAGTCACTCATGAACCCCCCACAGACTAGATTAGCATTCATGCCGCCACTACTTAGTCCACCTTTGCTCTGGACATTCCCAAACTTGGGACATTAACTGTGAAAATTTGTTCTGCTGACCTACAACACCCCTCCCCCAGGCTTCTTCTTTACTCTATATATCAGATCTACCCCTATACACTACAACGGGGAACGTTTGTGTGCAAATTTAATTGCCTGTTTTTAGTTTGACGTTACCTAGTGCTGGATGGGGAAACCACTCTTAGAACGCAACCAGATAGTAGGGGAGACATGGAGAACATTTCTAAGCAGGTTCACTGTAATTGAGATGGAGGATAGGAAGATGTGTCCACGGATGGTCCTCCCGCCCACATACGCCAGAGCTGCATACATATGTATATATATATATACATATATATATGTATATATATATATAGTGGGGGATTGCCCCCAGAGATGCCTCAACCTCCTTATTCACATTTGATTACTGTCCCTTTCCTACTTTATTACCACACATCGATATCCCATAGGCTGAGGATGGGCATTAGTATGCAAGGTATTAAGTAAACTCCCTACAATCAATAAGTGAATTTGTCTCCCTTGCCTTCACTTCCATTTTAAATGATCACACCTAACCAACAGACTCCCTCTCTGACCATCTTTCTATAGTACCTAAAGAGCATAAGGACCCAAATCAATGTGGCAGCTACCATCCCATAGCCCTCCTTAATACAGACCCCAAATTGTTCACCAAAATTCTGTCCAAATAACTCATTGTCTTTCAAAGTCTCATACACACAGACCAGGTGGGCTTTATTCCTATAAGAGAAGCCAGGGACAATACCACCAGGACTCTCAATCTGATTCTCTCCGCCCCATCCAAGTTCACCCCAACTATGCTACTTTCCATCAACGTGGACAAGGATTTTGACAGGGTAAAATGGCAGTTTCTTCAATGAATAAGACTAGATCTCCCTTCTTACCAATATCTAATGACACACGCCAGAGTTGTCTGCTTTCTCCAATTCATCCTCACTTTGGAACCCCTACTCTGTTTTGAGCAAATAGTGATATTATGGTCCTCCACAATCCATCTGGCTACCACAATTACTATACATAACAAACCCAGAGACATTTCTCCAAGCCCTAAAATCAAGCCTTAAGGAATACGGATTCTTGTCCAATTTTGAAATAAACTGCTTTGTTCTAAATCCAGGTCCTTAATGTTCCCCAACTTCCCCTTCTGCGGGGCCTCAGAGCACATCAAATATTTAGGAGTTAGGAGAACCGTCGACCTATTGAGTTACGAATCACTACTATAAATCAAACATCATCCCAATTTTCTCCAAAGTACACAGAGATCTCCAACAATAGGATCATCTCGCTCTCTCAATTACAACCCCACAAAAATATTTTCAGACTATGAAATCCTTGTTTATTCCCTTAATTTAAAATCAGAAAGCCCCACAAATCAGGAGTACTCTCTTTCATTACCTAACACTCAGGGAGCTCAGTGGACCTTTCCAACATACAGTAGGTTTCTACTATAGGGTCTTCCATCTAACCAGGACCATTGGTGTTGTTAGCAGCATCAGTCATACAATAGGACTGCATGGAGCAGAATAATATGACATTCCCTCTACAAAGTCTCCCTTAGATATCCTCCAGACAACCGCTGTCCTTCAAAACACACCCAATCACCCTCTAACAATATCTCCCTCCACCCATCCCCTATGACTCTTCTCATGGGGACCCTGACTTTCCACCTGGCTTAGAAAACAAACATTTATTTTAAAAAAATCATCCCCTCAATAAATTTAGACAAGCAAACTTCCATTCCTCGAAAGGTTGGCTCTCTCAAACAGACATCAAAAACCCTAGCAGAAAACTGAAAATTAGACACTTCCTAAAGTCCATCCATATTACCTCCTCCCTCCGTCACCGCCTTACTCAATTTGAACATCTCTGTAACCTCCAAACCTACCCTTGCACTCCCTCTCTACATTTGTAAATGGGATAAGGACCTTCAAATCATAATATCCCCAAAACAGCAAATTAACAAACTAGCCCACTCCTCTAATATTGCCAGTAAATTCCAGGAACAGGGTTACGAGATCCGGTCCTGTTGGTACCAAGTTCCAGTTCTTCAAAACTTCCCTATTAAGGACTAACAAGGCTGTTAAGATAAACTTTATGTAAACCCAGGTTCTAAACTCTCATTTAAGCCTTAACATGTTAATGTCATGTAAAAAGTAATTTTAATTCTGCAGCTTTCAGAATGTGTTGTCACTCTGTCACATGTGCCAGACGAGACTACAAGCAGTCATGCCAATACATATTGTGCAGCCACGGTCCACTGTTGTCACTGTCAAGAATTCCATCCAGACCAATGATGCAGCCAACAATGGGGTGAGTGCACGTACACAGAAAGTGGCTTAAAGAAGCAGGAAGAGATCAGAAGCACTGATGGCATAGCAGTTTGGCAAACTAACTGTAATCTAGTTAGGATTTTGATCTACTTTAGTTTTTGGAACTTCACTTTGTAAGTGCCCAAATGTTTGAAGCACACATTGTTTTTTCCAGTGAATTAAATTGTGCAAATAAGTACATTACAATTTTCACAAACTTGTAATAAATATGTTTTGTTCCTTAAACTGGCTGTGTTAACCTTTTTTTTTGACAGAGACAACTATTTGACCAAGGATGTCCAAAACTTTATTTTTATAAGACAGTATATTTGTGCTTCCTTCTAGAGTTAGGTCTAAAGTACTAAAAATAAAAATAAAAAAATAAAAATATAAATCTGTATTATAAACGTGTGACAATCCAAACTGCATCGTTTGAGTGCAAATATCACCAATATATGCACGACTGAGGCGCCTTAGTATAAAACCTTTATAGCTAGCTGCATCATAATCTATAATGACCATGGCACAAAGAAGGAAGAATGTCTGATACCTTTTCTTTAGTTTTTGCTCTCTTTCCTTTCCTCTGTTTATTTCCTGCTGCAGAAGGCCGCTGTTCATCTTTGCCATCCCCCTGCTTTAATGGTGCCTGTTCACTACTGTGTGTGTCATCAGCTGCCGAAATGCTGGCCTGAAACAATTATAACATCACATACATTATTATTATTATTATTAATATACAAGATTTATATAGCACCAATAGTCATGTACAGCTCAGCAGTGTATTACTACAGTAATACTGCCAAGTCAATCTTTGTGTTTGGAATTAATTATGGGACCATTAAAATGTCAAAGATGTTTACAGTGCAATCCATACTTTACTGTCTGCTATGTCCTCTCTTGGTACAGACTGGGTTCTCCTCTCCTCCTTTATTTTCTCTCTCTTCTTTCTTAAACTTCTGCCACGGCTAAAACGCAAGACCTAGGGAAACATTTATACAATAGTTATCATGCTTTTCTGAAATCATATTATGTTGTTAGAAATATATTATGCATTTGCAGAGAATAATGGTTTGTAGAATCATATATGTTTTTAGGCATACAGGTCTATATGCTGTATGCATGTATACATATGTACAAGATCGGCAGATGATTTTAGAGAAGCTTACCTGTTTTTGTGGAATTGCTCCCTCACTAGCTGGGAGAGTGAGATGTTGTCACTGCCCCCTCACTAGCAAGGGGGATTTGGCAGCATTCCGGGCTAGTGATTTAATAGAGGTAAGTGGAAGTCTCTACTGGGTGATCAGAAGAACACAATGCCAGCTGCAGAAAAAGGCGTGTAACATGGCACTAAAACTGTTTCTGATCACTCCCTGTAAAACTTTAACACTTTGAGGGGAATTTATCAAAACTGGAGCAGACAAAAAGTGGAGTAGCTGTGCATGGCAACCAATAAGCATCCACCTTTCATTTTCAAATCTTAACTGAACAGACTGAAGTAAGAAGTTGATTGGATGCCATGGGCAAATGCTCCAGATCTGTCTGCTCCAGTTTTGATAAATTCCCCCCTTAATGTTTAATATCAAGGCGTTTTTAGCAACATGCAGTAACATGTTGCTCAATCTAAACTAAAAGTAGGCTGCCAGAAATTGAAAAACATGTGTCTACATTAATAATTCCCACTGCAATTTTACAGTTGAACTCCAGCTAGATTCAAAAGACACATGAATGCAACTATGCAATCTAAAATACATTCTTAAACAAATTTTTGCAAGCAGTGCAAGTATGTAAATTTGCAGCAGAGCTCGACCTGGATCCTTGTGGTGACATCACTTTCTTCTCATGCTGTCGGCGTGTCTGGTCAAGATTATGTCCCGGTAGCGGTGTTCCGATTGAGGTCCATTGAACACCATTTGTTTTCCATGTGCCGATAATGCTACTGGGCACCCTTTTAAACACAATAGCTGTGTTTCAATGAGGAGTTTACTTTTTCATTTTTGAGCCCAGTGCAAATAATTATTATGATTATATATGATTTATATAGCGCCAACAGTTTGCACAGCTCTTTACCAAATGGCTGGAGGCAGTACAGTTACAATATCAATACAGGAGGGTGGGGAGGACCCTGCTCGTGAGAGCTTACAATCTAGTAGGGGGGGGTAGTTATACAAAAGGTAATCATTTCTGGATGAATTAAAGTGGAAGCTGAGTTCCTATTTACAATATGGGCCGAAGACTCTGACATCCTGGGGGTGATTTACTAACCTAAACACACGCACGCACGCACTAGGTGCGTGTGATTTTTACACAGCAAAACGTATTTATCAACCAAAAAGTCTCTAAAAGCATATTTCCACTAATGCCATATATGGAAAAATCATGCACATGATGCATATATAATGCTGCTTCACAGTTTAGACAAAAATGGTTAGCTCATGCATTTACATTCCTGCATTCATCAACGCAAGCAACACAATGTAGAGCTAATTTACACAATATCACCTTGCAATTCATGCAGGGCTTTGCACAACACACCTGCTAGATGTGTACACACTACAAAGGTGTCTAGATTCCACCAATAGATCATGCTGGGAGGGAACACACTACAGAGGTGTATACTTATTCGTGGCGTGTATATAAGGTTAGTAAATCAACCCC